GTAGTAAACCAGGTGCTGAAGGTAAAATTTTAAGAAGACTAAGCCCCATTCTTCTAGCCCAGTGCCTCTGAAACTTCAATATAAGAGTCATCTATGTGGAGGGCTTGGTGGATTCTTGTTCCTCTTTCCTACCTCCAATTCTGATTCAGTCAGTCTGGGATAAAACCAGAGAATTTGCATGTTTAAGAAGCTTCTGGCTGGGCCTGGTGGAATCCTAGCACTCCAGAGACTGAGGCAGGAGGATTGCCAGGAGTTCAAGACCAGCCTGAGCCTCATAGTGAGTTCAAGCCCAGCCTGGACATACAGTGAGACCCTGTCTCAAAAAAAACAAAAAAGCACACGCCTGTAATTCTGCTACTTAGAAGGCTGAGGCAGGTGTATGGCAAGTTTGAGGCCAACCTAAGCAATTTAGAGACTTCCTTTCACAGAATAAAAAATATAAAGGGGCTGAGTTCAATCACTAGTACCACAAAGAAGAAAAAAAGGAGGAGAAAGAGCAACTGCTTTTAAGAAAGTACACACCTGCCGGGGATTTAGCTCAGTGGTTTCACCGCGTGCTGCACAAGCGGGAGGAGCCGAGTTCGATCCCCGGTACCAAAAAAGAAAAAAAAAGAAAGCACACACTTTATATTATTTACTTATTTTTTTTTGTGCCAGAGATTGAACTCGAGTCCTTGCGCTTGTGCAGCAGGCGGTGAAACCACTGTGCTAAATCCCTGGCCTAAGAAAGTATGCACCTTAGATAAGATTGATACACACTAAGTGGTTCTGCCGCCTGCCTCACAAGCACAAGGACCCAAGTTCGATCCCGAGTACAAAAAAAAAAAAGATTGATACACACTGGAAAATTGGAAGGGCATCCCAAATAGAGTATGAGAATGATAGAAGAGAATTAGGTACATTGAAAATTTACTCTTTGCCAAGCACTTTTAAATACAGTAACTCATTTAATCCTCATATCAACTTGATAAAGTACATATGATTATTTCAATTGAGGCAACTGAGGCAGAGAAAGATTAGTTAAATCACTTTCAGTGGTGGCAAACCTATGGCACATGTGCCACAGTGGGCTGTTTGTGTCATTGAAAGCTCTAAAAGTTTTACCATCCCTGGATGTCATAGAGGTAGTAAATGACAGACTGGGATTTGTACCTGCTTCTCCTGCTCTCAGTAACTCATGCGAATCTGCAGTGTCTTCATCTTTTCCAGGTACTGGCCAGGGAATTGGGCATACAGCACTGAGACAAACAAGCTCTTGGATCCAGTTAACTCAATAAGCAACAGAGAGTTCTAGGGTGTCATGAGGGAGGCAGTGCCATGAAGATACCTAACAGAGACATAGAGGCCAGAATAGTAGTAGTGAACATTTTCCAAGAAAAAAAAAAAAAATTTACATGAAGACCTGAAGGGTGAATTAGAGGAGTGGAGTGGAAGGAGAGTGAGAAGTGTTCTAAGCTGAAGATATTCAATGAAAGCTTAGTGGCAACAAAGAATTTGAGCCAGGTGTAGTGATGGATGCCTGTAATCCCAGCACTCAGGAAGCTGAGACAGGAAGATCATCATGAGTTCAAGGCCAGCCTGGGCTACATAGTGAGACCGTGTCTCAAAACAAACAAAACAAAACAAAAAAAAGCAAAGCAAAGTGCTTGAGAACTGAAAGTTTAGAATGTTTGAAGTACAGGAGGTGCAAGTATAGATAGTATATTTCATCTCTACAGACAACTATAGAGAATAGGTCATTGCAATAGAAAGGAATCAGGTCATGCCAGGCTATTTAGACTTACTACTTTGTTCAAGGCTAGAGGCATAGTCACACTTGTCCACCATTTCCCCTGTATCCCCAGAGGACACATTCCAAGACTCCCAATGGATACCTCAAACTGTCTACTTTGTTCAAGGCTAGAGGCATAGTCACACTTGTCCACCATTTCCCCTGTATCCCCAGAGGACACATTCCAAGACTCCCAATGGATACCTCAAACTGTGAATAGTACCTAACCCTATGTACATTGTTGTTTCTATGGATACATATATATGATAAAGTTTAATTTATAAATTAGGTGCAATAAGAGATTTACATATACATAATGAGATATCCTTGGGGATGGGATCCAACTCTGAAGACACTTCATTTATGTTTTGTATACACTTTTTGCCCATAAGTTTATGGTAATTTTATACAATATTATCAGTGCACCTGTGTTTTCATATGACTTGTCATATCAGGTCAGGAGTGCATTTTTCACTTGTGGCATCATGTTGGCTCTCAAAAAGTTTTGGATTTTGGAAGATTTCCAGTTTTAAACTTTCAGGTTAAGGATGCACAACCTATATGCTATAATAAAAGTGATATGAATGTGATCTCTCTCAAAATATCTCATTGTACTGTACTCATTGTTTTTCTTGAGATGATGTAAGATGCCTAGGGATGAGATGAAGTGAGGAGAATGATTTTGGCATTGCGACGTAGTGGTAGACTACTATGTAGGGCTACTTGAATATAAACCTTCCTGAGCAGTTAATCAATGGGAGGGCTAGTAAGTTACTAACAGGCAAGGAGTGTATGTAGTGTGGATACACTGGAAAGGGAGTGATTTACATGCCCAGCAGGACAATGTGTGATGACTCAAGATTTCACCCCACTACACAGAACAGTACACAATTTAAAACTTAGAAATTGTTTATTTCTGCAATGTTCCACTTAATACTTTTGGATTGTGTTGAACCATGCATAAAACTGGTGGAAAGCAAAACCTCAGATAAGAGGAGACTACTATATTCCTAATCCTTATTCATTTATTCTTAATTGCTTATTTATCAAAACAAATATTTCTTTACTCCATGTATTTATGTTTCAAAATTCAGGAACACAAGTCAGTGACAAACTTCTGTGGAACTCAATCCAAAGACATTTTTTATACTTCAAAATCACTTTGCACTCAAAGATAGCAGCTTTCTTCATCTTCTCAAAATCTTTCATGGAATCATAATTTCTGTAGAATTCTGCATATGTTTTCTTTCTTGGCTCAACCATAGCAAACTTAAAGAGAACTGAAACCCCCAGGGGAACAACAAATGCTCCAACAATATGAAACTGCAGATGCTTGGCTAGAAGACTAGGCATCTGGGACATGTCAAAGCACTGGAAGCTGTGGTAGCAATCGTCTTTAATGCCAACTCCTTCCCAGATGATGGGAGTTTAAAAGGTTACTATGTCATCAGCTGAGAATAAGTTAAAGAAGAGCAGCCTATAGGCAGGGGAATGTATGAAAGATGCTAGTGGTATAAAGTTGTGTAATGCTGTGGTGATGGGGAAAAAATGGGGGTGAGCAGATGTTTAGAAGTGTTTAAGACTTGATGATCAATTGGAAGGAGAAGAGTAGACAGGTAAAGGAGGAATCAAAGATGACCTCCAGGTTTCTGAGCACAGTTTTATAATAATAAAGTGCTGACTGGCTGGGGTGTGGCTCGGTAGTATAGTGTAAGGCCTTGGATTTGATCTCTAGAAGAAGAGGGAGAAGTAGAAGGTGAAGGAGAAGGAAGAGGAGGAGAAGGTGGTCCTTTAAGCCTATTATTTCACATTTTACAAAATAAATGCAGATGAGTGGAACTATGTAAAAGAATGATGTTATTTTAGTAAGGTTTCAAAAGACCAAAACTTAATTGATTAAAAAATATGGGAGAAACAGCGCCTGCCTCGCAAGTGCAAGGTCCCGAGTTCGATCCCCTGTACCAAAAAAAAGGGGAGAAAAATTACTATCTTTGTGGTTAAGTTTACTTTGTTTTATATTTGTTTGTGTCAACAGCTTTATCATCTGTTAAGAGGGATTTCTGAATGCTGGAGATAACTTTTTTCCCCCAAAGATCAAGATTAACCATCAAGAACAAGACATAGGCTTTACATACTACGTTTCTGACAGCCCCTCCCCTCAGTGAAGGCAAGGCCTCATCCATACTAGGCAAGAGCTCTAACACTGAAGTATTTCCCCAACTCTTTTATTTCTATTTTTATTTTTGAGACAAGATCTCACTGAGTTGACCAGGCTGGTTTTGTAACTGTCTTCTTGTTAAAGAAGGTTCTTGGATCTTGAGTTTCTGAAGCTCAAAATCCCTTTCTCCCCTCATCTTTCCACGTTTACACCTTCAAACGGATAGTAGATGGCTATCAAAGGAGTAGGGCTTATTTGGACTCCGCCTTCTTCGCCTTGGTCCTGCCCCCCCAATAGGCCACACCTCTTCTCGTGTCCCCGCCCCCTTGGAGAGTTCGTCTCTGACATGACAATGAATTCTCCGTAATTTTACCCTATAGGAAACCGGAAAGGCGGGATCTCGCCCAATCTTTTTTCCATTTGTTTAATTATATGTCTATCTGGTACCAATTCCATCCCACTTCATTTTCAACCCAAGGATTGGTTGCTCGGTTCTTTGTTCCTGGCTCATGATTGGTTATTTCGTTCCGCCCTTCTCTTCCACCTCTTGCAGGCGGGATTAGCACGCAGCTTCCTGCTCCTGCCAAAAAAATAAAAGAAGAAAAAGAAAAGAGAAGAGAGGCGAAAGAAAAATGTCACGGAGATCTTTGATTTTTAATTGGTTTTCAGCCGTGTCGGTCAGACCAAACTCTACCTTTTGATTGGCTCTTCTATCTGCCCATCCAGGATTGGGGGCGGGATTTCCCCATGAGACCCACACCTTGTTGTCACTGGTGGAACAGTGCGCCTGTCTGAAGCTCCCGGCCCAGGATTGGAGGCGGACACGGACAGGTGGGCGTGGATTGGTTAGGGCAGCCGGTCAGTGTGAGGCAGGGGCGGGGCCTCGGCGGCTAGTTGCGCGTGTCCGCCGCTGGCTCCGCTCTATCCGGCTTTGCTAGGGGAGGTGAGTCCGGCCGCGGCGGCACCGGCGGCTTAGGAGGCGGCGGCTGGGGAGAAAGCGGCCGCGGCGCCTGAAGAGAAAGCGGCCGCGGAGACGGAAGCCGGGTGGGGGGGAGGGGGGGAGACGGAGCAGCCTTGAGCCCTGCAGGGGCCGTCGCGCGGGGGGACCCACCCGCTCTCCCCCCCAACCCTCCTCAGCAGAAGCAGCCGGCGGCGGGGGCAGGACTCAGCCCGTTTCAGATCGTTCTCCGCCCGCCTCCTGGGGCTGCTATTCTTTGGCCCCGGGACCCTAACCTCCTCCCGGGGCGGTTCCCTCTGTCTGGGCGTCCGAGTGCTGCCCACCTCTCTTTCATTCCTCCCTGCACCTCCTTACCTTCACTTTTGCCCCGGCTTCTCTTTCTCCTCTCTGCCCTGACTGTCGCCTGCTCTCTTCACTGTATCCCTCCAGCCTCCTTCCCTGGCTCATTTTGCCCCGGAAAGTTTGGTGGCACCTCCCTCAGGTCAGCAGACTAGGATTAGGGGGAGATGTAGGAAGGCCTGAGAGTTCGAGGCGGGGGGAAGCTGGAAGCTGGTTTCCCTGAAAAATTCCTCCTATCTTTTAAATTTAGAGTGGTTGGAATTTTTAAAAATTGTGTTTTTGAGGAGGTGGTAGGTGTTTATAAAAGGATGTGGGAATGGAAGGGGTAGATGAGTCAACCCTCTTACAAGATTGCAAGGGTGGTGTGTTACCTGAGCCTTTTCCTGTGTGGAGTTCAGGGGGTCGGAAAGTTTGGCCTTTATTCCCACATTCAAAGTTGGAACCTCCTCCAAATTAATAATGGAGTTTTAGTACCCACTTGTGGCAGGAATCCTGGGGGGAAGGGGTCCTTTTTTCCTTTTTCTTTTCTTTTTCTTTTTTTCTTTTTCTTTTTCTTTTGGCAACCCACCTTCTTCCACACACTCAGCCAAAAACCAAACACCAAGATCCTCTAACTTGTTTGGATTGACTGATGAAGACATAAAGCCAGTTACGCTCTATGTTTTTTGAGGTGGAGTGAGTGGTTTTTCTTCATTTTAAATGGCCAAATGACAGCTTGACCCAGTTTGCTTTCCAATCAAAGAGCATTTTTTTGAATGTCTCTTTGTGGCGCAAGAGCCAACGCAAAAATGATGGCGGCTTACAATGGCGGTACATCTGCAGCAGCAGCAGGTCACCACCACCACCATCATCACCACCTTTCACACCTTCCTCCTCCTCACCTTCACCACCACCACCACGCTCAACACCATCTTCATCCGGGGTCAGCTGCTGCTGTACACCCTGTACAGCAGCATACCTCTTCGGCAGCTGCGGCAGCCGCAGCAGCGGCCGCAGCTGCAGCCATGTTAAACCCTGGGCAACAACAGCCATATTTCCCATCACCGGCACCGGGTCAGGCTCCTGGACCAGCTGCAGCAGCCCCAGCTCAGGTACAGGCTGCCGCAGCTGCTACAGTTAAGGCGCACCATCATCAGCACTCACACCATCCACAACAGCAGCTGGATATTGAGCCGGACAGACCTATTGGATATGGAGCCTTTGGTGTTGTCTGGTGAGTATCAAGAAAAACACAACTTCTTGTGGTTCCTCTTCATGGTTCAGATTGAGCAGGTCATTGCTCATGGTTTTTTCATGTTGACCAACGTGGAACGAGAGTCTTGACTCAACTCTAGGCAGCCACCCTTCATGGTAAAGAGGCCTAAAGCTTTGGCCGTGTAGGCCTATGCTTTTGACTCATGGCAAGTTTTGGTGGAATACCTTCTCATCAGTGGGACCCATAAGTTTGCTGACTACCAGACTTTCATGTTCAGAACCTAAGCGATCTACTGGCTGTAAGATCAAGAGATGAATGTATAAAATACTTATTCCTACAAAGACCTTGATCATCTCTCGTGTGTTTGATTTAGTTTGGATCAGTTGCCCAGCCACAGCAGATATCAATGAGTGACCCTGACTTGTTTCCTTCCTAATAGTCTTGTCAATTGAATATACTTTGTGTCATTACTTTCCTAGCCTTTACATTTTTTCATGCCTTGTTTTATGATCTTGATCCCTAGAAGGAAGGTAGATTTCATGATTGCACCAGTTAAAATCATTGCTTGAGTGTTTTATTTTAAACCATAAAACTACATTTGGAAAGTCCGTAGCTTTAGCCTTCTGATAAGAATGCATTAAATATAGCATCACACATGAGTACCACAAATGAGGTTAGTAGACTGTAACTATGCAGTGGCCCACATTCAGTGAAATGTTTTAGTGTCACTTAGTGCCTCTTAAGTTGCTTTTATCTCCTGGTCAGTTGCTATTGTAGGAAGCATACTTTTTAAACAAATGAAACTGTTTTACTTTTGCTAGTGGTAGGATATTTTTTAAAATCTAAGGGTTTCTTAAATGGAGCATATTAGTCTTGTTTGCTCTTCTTAGGAAGATATGAAGTTGATAATAAAATGTGTTCCTGTCAAAACTAGAACTGAGTTTTATTCAAGGATTAAGGATTCCAGTGTAGATAGATGAATTGATATTTTCAGTGCATTCAAAAATAGATTCTTGTTAATGTCTAGAAAAGCCCCATCACCATGGGAAAATACACTCCCTGGAAGTGTTCTGGTAAATATTTCCTTTCATCCTTGGTTTTGATGCTGAAATTGACATGAGTATCATTTGTATTCTAACTAGCCATCTTTATATTTCAGATTTTATAATCTAGGCAACTAAGTGATTTAATTATATTCTTTTCTTTTTTCCTCTTTTTAACTTGTGTAGTCCAGTTTTTCTCAGCTGCTGTCTAAGGAGATTGCTGCTGCATCCTCCTTTTGCCAAGGTGTGTGGGATTCCTGGCGGGAAGGAGTATAGCTGATAATGGTGCCTCTTCAGTCCTCTACTCTGCGACCTGCCTTTCTCTTTTCCCTTCCGTAGCCTATCCTTGGGGATTTCACTATGAACTTCCGTTCTTTGCCTAACTCTTGTGGATTTCCAAGCTGTGGGGGTTGGGGAGGAGATAAGTAAAAGCTTGCTCTTTGTTTTGAATTGGGTCATTTACTAACTGAGAATTTGGATTTTTTCTATCTGAATGTGCTCTCATTTTAGTACGTTGTATACAAGGCTAAGAACTAGAGATACTGGAAAGGCAACATTATTGCTACATTCTTGAATATATTCTAAAGAGATTATTATATTTCTATCACAAGGTGATGAAACTTGTAGAAGTGTTTCATTCTGGTTTTTTGTTTTTGTTTTTGTTTGGTACCGGGGTTTGAACTGGGGATCTTGCACTTGCGAGGCAGGTGGCGGAACCATTTAGTTAAATCCCCGACCCTGTTTTATTCTGTTTTAAAACAGGATCTTGATATGTAGTTCAGGCTGGTCTTGAACTCACAGTGTAGCCCAAGTTTTTCTTGAACTGGATGGAGATCCTCTATGTCAGCCTCTGAGCGCTGGGATCACAGGTGTGCACCATCATAGCCGGCTAACTTGTAGAATTTTTAACTTCAAGTTCTGGTAAGGGAAAAGATTTGAAAGGGAAGAGCAGTAAAGAGCAATAGTACTGTGTTATCTCACAGCAAATATTCTGGTGGTGGGCACTATGAATCACCCATACCTGAAAATCTAAATATGTTTGACTTGAATCAAACATTCTAGAGCTTCATTGATTGACCCCTTCTTCTAGCTATGGAGTTTGTACCTCTGTGCACCATCTTCTGCTGTACACACAATTGCCTTATCTCACTGCATTTTGTAAGCCCTTTGAGGGGAAGGACTGTGTACTGAACTACTTTTTCTTTGCAGCACCTAGCATAGTACTACAGTATCTTTACTCTTTGGTTGGTTGATCTCTGAGTCAGATCCTTTGTTTTTGCTTGGACAACAGAAAATTCATTTCTCACAGTTCTGGAGGCTGGAAATCCAAGATTAAGGTGTTAGCAGGTGTGGTTTCTTCTGAGACTCCTCATGTTGGCTATTGTCTCTGTGTCCTTACATGGCGGTGTCCTCAGATGGTTTAGTCCTTTGTATTTTAACCAAGTTTTTCTAGTTTTTACATTGAGTGTTTTTATCAGCTGTTTCTGGTGAAATACAATTTAATATGAAAAAGGAAAGAGTTCCAGGTGTGTGTTTTTAGTATGCAAATGCTTTTCTATTTTTCATATTTACATATTGATGACTTGGCATCTGAATTGCCTGTTATGTTTGGAATTTAACTGCTTTGTGACCGAAGTTAGGTTGTTAAAACTAGTGATTAAAAACCAGACCAGTGTAAATTTGTACTGGTATTCCTAAACTAAAGATGTTACTGATGTGTTTTTGTTTTTTGTTTTTTTGCTTTTTAACTAACTGAAACAGGATTTTTCTTTTTAAATTTAAAAAGCACATTATAAGTTTGAAACAAGTACTTTCTAAAATAATTACAATGGAACATAAAAAATATTCTTCCAGTGTTACATTTTTCCACACACTATATAACTAACTACCTGAGTAATGTAAGATTCACTTAGTTTCTAACATACAGTATATTCATTTAGTTCATTTTGCAAGTATTGGCCTGGCATATTAGATGACAAGGACCTATATCTGCTCCAATTTCTTTTTTTCTGGACCTGCACTCGGGTATTAACTGAGGCTAAAAAAGTGGTATGTAATTTTGAGGGATATTGTTCTTCCATGTAGACAAAAAGAGATGCAGCATTTTACCATTTAGATTTATTGTGGACCAGTTTAGTTTGCCTGACTTGATTTATCTTTCTGCTGAATGTAACTAGTGGAATAACTTATCAGTATTGGACAGTTGTGTAAAAGTAGTGAATTACCCATTAGCTTGCTGGTAAAGATGGTGCTTTGACAGTTCAATTAAGGTTTCATTAACAACTGTCTGCTGTGTTTTATCTCAAAGTAAGTTTCCAGTTTACCTGGTAATGTGATCATGGGGTTGCTTGAGATACATTCATTGCCATTGATAGAGTGTTGCTAATGGGTTTTCAAAACATCATATATAATTTGACCTTCGCATCATATATAAAGGCTTCTAGACACCCGTATGGAATAATATAAAAACAAAACACAAGACAACCCATATACAATAACTTCATTTTTTTGTTGAAGATATTACAAGTACACTTTTTTTGTCTAGAGTTCACATTTGCTAGAGAAAAACGCTGTGCTTTAAGGATGTGACAACATTGAGACAGTGAGCTTCAGGTACTCATGAAGTATATACTTGTAAGAGTTGGAAGAAATTGACCATGAGAGCAGTTTAAGGACTGCTGAACTCAAGACAGTTTTTGACATTGGCAATATAAGATGTATAGTGGATTAGAGGCACATGTTACCTGGATAAAAGTGAGTCTGGGAAAAACTTGTACCTTATAAAATTAATGTTTTGGTTTTTGACTTGTCTGATTAATTAAGAGATCAAAGACCTGAAATTCATGTGGTGTATTGTCTTTGTACTTCAAGTTGGAAAGGTTTGAGTGTTGTTATTCTAATACCCTGAACAAGTTACTTTCATGTCTTTCCAAATTTAAGCTTTACTGTAGTGATACTTAGTTACTAGCTCTGTGATCTTGATAAATTGTTTACCCTTTCTGTTCCTCATCTGTAAAATGGTGATAATAATAGTGCTTATCTCAGGACTGGTATGAGGATTAAATGAGGTAATCCTTATGAACCAGTCAGTACACTAGTAAAACACAGTATGGCTTCAATAAATGTTAGCTGTTTTTGTTGTATTATTGTTGGTAGAAAAATTAAACTCTTTGATGTGCATGGAAGAGTCTTCATGATTGTCAGATTTACCAAGTGATATCAACGTGCAGACTGTATTTGGAGGTGTGATTTAAATATCATGGAGTGCCCTATTAGTTGAGCAAAATATTCTGTCCTGTTCTCTAAATAATTAAAACAAAAAGGTGCATGTTAGTATGGGTTTGTTAGGTGTTTCTAGTCAGATTACCTGCGCTGTTTTAGAAGGTATTGTTGACTTATATACTGCGAAGAAAATTAATTTTTTCTTTTCAAAATTTAGCCATTGAAGGACATGCTAATTATCAAAGTTCAGCTTTAGTGGAAATGTGTTTTACTTGTGTTTAGATGAAAGAGTGCAAATTGCTTAGGAAGATCCCCGTGAGGTAGGAAGTGTGTGTGAGTTAATGAAAAATTATTTAGTGTAAACCTTTATGCACGGGAGAGATTGTTTAGTTTGTTCATTTTACTTGTGAAAATTAGAGGCTTGTTTTTTTTCTTTTGGATGTTTCTTTGATCCTCTTACTCCATAAATAGCAAACTATAATTTGAAAAAAAAAATGGAGGATGCTTTTGGGATATTTTTTGGGAAAATCCTGCAGTTAGTTGCATCAGAAAGAGGCGTATACTGAAGTGTATTTTGTTATTAACTGTTTTACAGGTTAAGAATCTATAGTGTTGAGAAGTTTCTCTACTATAAACCAAGATTAACAGCCACAGCTGGATTCTTTGGGGGGGGGGCTGCTTTGTGAAAAGAGCTTTGAAGAAGCAGAGCCTGCACCATAAAAAGGAACCGGTTGCTCTTCTAGACATAACAAA